ACCCCAGAAAATCCGAAAAGAAACCAAAAGTCATCTCTGCGTCTGTATCTTAGATCAAAACGCAAGTAGCAGCACCAGAAACACACAAAAAAAAAAAACAATCAAAGTTGAAAAAGCAATAAGCATCAAGATCAAGACACCATCTTCAAGGATGATTTTCATCACTACAAAGCTTACATTTCTCTTCATTTCATTGGAATATATAACAAACCTACCGATTTCTCTATACTACAAAGAAAGTCCCGAAAATGAATAGTGCAAAAAAAAAAAAAAATGAAAGTGCAAGAAAACATATCAGAAACTTTGAAAGTGCCAAACAAAAACACATTAAAACAACAAAACATATAAGAGTCCAGAGAAATTTTTGTCATCTAATATCATTTGTAATTACATATCATATGATGTATTCTGGACTACAAAGAAAAGCAAGAAATTTGTGATACGTCTATTTTATCACTGTCAGAATACAAAAACAAAAACACATGCAACATCAAAGACAAGAGTACTATCAAAACACCAGCACCATAGAAAAAGGAGGGAAGTAAGATCAATAATTGGTTTTAATGTTCCCCCCACCCAGAAAGACACACAAATATTTTTTTTAATTTCCAAGCATAACAATAAAAAAAAAAAATAATACAAAACAAACCAAACCTTAATTACTGCCTCTATGCTACATCTCACTTTCAGTAAAAACTCTATCACTGCCTCTTACCAATTCTTCTCTCTGTTTCTCACCTGCACTAACATAAAGCTCATATCAATTATTTGACTCCGTGTACGTACATTATAGAGGTTCACAATTATTTGACATTAGTTATATTCAACCCTAAGTAAATCAAAACCCCTCTGCCAATTTTCCATGTGCTCTCGCACTAACAACAAAACAAAATTCTTTCCTCTTATAGTCACCATCCTCCCCTTCCCTTCCCACTAGTTTGTGTAAGAGATTTTTTGAGCTGATGCAGAGAATTTGCAGTTTGTTTGTACATAATTGAACTCACAAATCCACAGAGAAAATTCTGTTACACTTGCTAGTTCAACGTAAAATCAGGAAATGTAATAGGACAGAGAAAGTTACGACTGTAAGCAACATAGAGTAAGTTGTTTTGTTTGGTTTTTTTTTATGTTTTCTGAATTGAAATGCTTTTTGTTGAACATAACAGAATACTTCTCGGTGTTTATTTTTTATTTTGATGCGCTTGTTCTTTGATATATTTTGTCTCTTGATGTTATTTTTTTCGTTTTTGTTTAGTATTGAAGTGAAATTGAGTTCACAATTTCTCTGACCTTTCTTTGTAGTCCAAGAGAATCATATGATGTTTTTACCAAATGATAGTATTACAAATTTCTCTGACTTACTATGTTGTGTTTTTATGTCCGTTTTTAATTTTTGCACTTTCAAGTTTATGATATGTTATTCTTTGCACTTTTCATTTTTTTTTTTTTTTTGACCTATTCACTGTTACTCGGACTTTCTTTTAGTATAGAGAAAATCGCTTAGTTTGTTTTATATCCAATGAAAAATACAGAAGAAAATGTTAAGTTTGTAATTGATAAAATCATCCTTGCAGATTGGTGTCTTGATCCTTGATGCTTATTGCTTTTCAACTGGACTGTTTTTTTTGTTTTTTTAGTTGTGTTCTGGTACTGTGCTACTGCGTTTTATCAAGATCATAGACGGCAGACACCAGGAGACTTTTGGTCTTCTTTTTCGGGATTGTCTGGCGGTCTTCAGTGTCTTTCGCGCTTTTTCCATTTCTATAGATGAAAACATAAACATTTAAATACCCAGGAAAATTACACGTAGCAAGATTACCACAACAGCGGAGAAAAATACTAAATTGGGTAGCAACATAACATCATACAGAGAAAAATTACACACAGAGAAGAAGAACATATTTTGAGGCGCGAAACTGCAGCATTAAACAAAATAACACTATCCAGAGAAAATTAGACCACAAACAATAAACATATTGTGCCAGAAGACGAGAAAATATAAATGCTGCCAGAAATAGACACACAAGTAAGAAAATTATTTGGCAGAGAAATATCCTTTAATCCAGAGAAAAATTCCACACCAATAGAGTGTAACCACAACATAATTTGCTTGAGAAAATAATTGCAGAAACATACGCCATGCCAGATAAAACACTTACACAATAGAGAACCAAATGTCTGTAAACAAGCCAGAGAATACAAAAACAAAACACAAGAGCATCTAATTAGAAGCCCAATGCACAGAAGCAGCTTCATTGTTGATGGTTGAAGAAAGCAACCCATCATCAAGTGTGCAGCAAAGAAATTCTACTTCAAGAATCTCTGGTTAGGATATCAACCCAGAGAAAAAATTTCTTAATCCGAAATTACCTGGAATGATAAAACTCTGATTTGACAATTTGCATCTGTTTCTGCTCGCTATTTCAATCACACTCCTGCACCAAACAACATTAATGTTTCTCTATGACGTTATGCATAATTTTCTTTCAACTTAATTATGAATTTCTCTAGGTTGAATCCAGAGAAAATTCAAATTCTCTGGAATCACTTTCTCTGGATTGAATTCATTGGGTTTGAATCCAAGAAAATTCAACATTACTCTTGAATCACTTTCTCTCGGTTGAAAATTTCTCTGGTATGAATCCAGATGAAATTCACTATTTCTTGAACCTTGCAGTATATATTCACACTGATATCTATATTATTTATTAGTGTGACTTATATATATATGTATTTATTATATAATAATATATATATATATAAGTTTGCACCATTAGATAAGATAAACTAAAGGCAGTGACTGATTGAATTATGTTGCAAATGTTTTAATGTGATAAACATAATACTATCAACCATAAACAAACAGATTTACATATATATATATATATTGTATGTACATATTTATATATTACATCTATCACACCTCCATAACTCCACTCCACTCTGTTTGTTTACCCAGAAAATTAAATTTGCCAAACTTAGTACTTTTGTTTTGCTGAATTTGTTTTCGTACTCGCCGGAAAATACCCAACACCAGTACCAGCATGACAAAGGAGAATATCCAACAGACGTAGGGTATTTTGGTCCAAGAAATTGATAAAATGAGCTGGTATTTTGGTTAGGGACCAGAGGCAGTATTACATTTTATAATGTCCTTTATGCAGAAAATTGTTATTATTAGGGAGCTTAAAAAAAAAACCCCTAAAAAAAAGTAAAACACTCAATCCTATTACTTTTTATTTTTATTTTTATATATACCATTTTATAAGAAATTAAAAAATAACCCTCAAATTAAAATCTGAACGTCAATTAGCCCCCAAACGTCTGCACACACAGCATCTCCATCATCCTCCCACGGCCTCTCTCACCAGGTATGCACTCACTCTCTCTCTCTCTCTCTAGACTCTAGCATCACATGTATGTATACCCAGAAATACATGTATATGTATGAACGAAATCCTCTCCATTCCTAACTTTTGTATTTTTTTGGGTTTTCATTAGATTTGAGTGAAAGTTCGGTTAAAAGCTTGATCCATGGAACACTTCAAAATTTGATTTTTTCATCAAATATTTTTGAAAAACCTGATTTAACCATTTTTATAGAAGAAAACAATTTCCAATCTTTATTATTTTCAAAATTTCATCAAATTTTTGGCCTCCTTTGAGAGGTTGACTATTTTAATAGATTATTTTAATTTTTGACTATTTTGGTAGGCTAAAATATTTGTATTTGAGAAAGATGGTTGAATTTTTTTTTTTTAGTTGGATGGGATGTTTATGAGAGAAAAAGTAAATTGATTATGAGTTTGACGTGATATTTTATTTTATTAGCTATTTTAACTTATTTTGTTTTCTTGTGGATTTTAGGCCCCAAAAAAAAAAACTTTGCCAAACAAGGCATTTGAGTAAAAAGATGACTCTTGGGAATTTGGTTCATTATTGATTTGGCAAAAAAAAGTGTTTTTCCTATATGAATTTGATGAAATGGTTGGAGTACACTTTTACCCATTTTTTAAAATTTGAATTTAATGAAAAAAAATGATGAAATGCTTGAAAATGTTCTAAAACAAACACATGCATAGATGGGAGCTGCTAATAGCCCGACCTATGTACTTATACCCCAAATCCTTTATTTATTTGGGTAAATTATACTGACCTCCCCGAGATTTGAAGAAAATAGAGTAAGTCTCATAAGTTTGGCATAATTATATTAGGCTTCCTTAATGTTTTAATTCATATAACACTTGGTCCTTCCCCTTTTTATCATAAATTCGTTAGTCGTATGAATGAAATAAATGATATTGTCATCTTTTTTATTTTTTTTATAACTTTTTTTGTATTGAAATATATATTTTTTCTTGTGTATGTTTGTGCCTTCATACCATTTTACTAAAATGGAGGTCAATGTATATTTTACCATTTTATCTTGTGTATATTGAAATATATACCATTTTATCTTGTGTATGTTTGTGGCTTCATACCATTTGATCTCTTTAATCTTACTAAAAAGGATGTCAATGTAATTCTGTTAAAACTGTGGAGCTTGCTGTATTTTCTCCAAACCTCGAAAGAGATCAATGTAATTTATCCTATTTAGTTTTATTACCATTTTACTATAACACAACTTTCTTATTTTATCCCCATCTCTAACCTCTCAACCCTAACCCTAACCCTAACCCCACCCACCACCGCCAACAACTCCGGCTTCCTAGCGCTACCTTGCCACCCCACCCCTCCTCCAACCTCCTTCACCCCACCACTTCCCTTTTTGTGTCACCCCTACTCCTTGTCCACTGTTGCCAGCCACAACGCTGGGAACCCACTCCCTCTTTCTCTTCTTTCTTCTTGTTCATCTTCATCCTCCTCTTCTTCTTCGCCGCCTAAACCTTAGATTTGAAAACCCTTCAAGGTTTAGGCAGCGAGAAGAAGAAGAAGCAGGAGGAGGAGGAGGAGGAGGCTGGGGCTCTTAGGGGGACTAGGAAAGGGGGTTGCCGGTTGGGAATGGGTTGTAGTGGGCGAAAGGGGTTGTTGGGAAGGAAGAAGGGACTGGGGAAGGGTCGACGGAGGGCTAGGGGGAGGGTCGCCAGACGTGGGAGTGCGGGCTGCCGAAGTAAGGTTGCAGAGGTGGGGGTCCAAAGGGTAGGATTATGGTGGGTGTTCAAAGAAAAAAGGGAGGGGAGCACTTTGGTGTGTGTCGGTCTAAAGAAATGGAGGGTCCAAGTAATTAGGTAGGGTTGTTAGCAACTCCCCATATGTACACCCACAAATTCACGATCTGCATATGTTTATACATGAGTTATATATTGGGCATTGCATAACATGTAGAGGGAAATCTTTCATTCAAATCCTTACATATATACTTTTGATCCAAAAAATTGAATTTTAAAATCTATAAATTTTCAAGACAAAAGGAAAAAGCATACACCACAGGAGCACTCATGATTTGAAAGTTCAATTGACATGCAAGAATGTTTGTTGTGCAAACAAATTGCTGCAAAAGCACAATCCCAATACCAATTGTTTATTATACATACATGCCCCTAACTCACTGGACTAATTGATAAATTTATGTACATGTGGAATATTTAAGATGAGAAATACACTTGAGTGGACACATTTCGTCTAAGCTTGTAGTACTTTTCAATCCAGCAAGGGTAATGGCAGAGTCTGTTGTCGCCTTCGCCATCAAAGGACTTGGTGTTTTAGCGATTCAAAATGCACAATTCTTGTATGGCATGAGTGACCAAGTGGAACAAGTTCAAGCACACTTAGGCAGATGCAATGCTTCTTGAAAGATGCAGATGCAACACAAGACGAACATGAGACGATCCACAATTTGGTTGCAGAAATTAGAGAAGTTGCTTATAATGCGGAGGCTGTTGTTGAAACTTTTGTTTTTGAAGTGGCATCGAGGAAAGGAGGTTTTTGAAAGATTCTCATCAGATCTGTTAACATCTTGAGTGAAGTTTTAGCCTGCTACAGGATTCGGTCTGAGATTGAAACTATTAAAAAATATATCAATATTCTCATCTCAAGCTTACAAAGTTACAGTTTAATTGCTGTAATGGAAAGAGAAGGTACAAGTTCTACATATCAAAGGAAACTTCAATATCGGTGATCTTATTCCCATGTTATTGAAGAGGATTTTGTTGGTTTTCAAGAAGACATGAAGACATTAATCAAACATTTGGTGAATGAAAGAAAACAAAATTGTCAGGTTGTTGCTAAGAAGATATACCATCACCAAAGTATAGGAGCCACTTTGATCGATTTGCTTGGGTTTGTATATCTCAACAATGGCAAAGAAAAGATATTTTGGAAGGGATTTTTACCAAACTTGTACCAGAGTGGAAAAATCAAATTGTGAACATGAGAGATGAAGAGCTTGTCAAGCAACTTTACCGAGTCCAACAAGAGAAAAAATGCCTAGTGGTTATTGATGACATTTGGTCATCATGTGCTTGGGATAGTCTAAGAGCTGCCTTCCCACCGGAAGTATGGGCAGCAAAATATTGATTACAACTCGTAATAAAGAAGTAGCTATGCACATAGATCCGACTTGTTTCCTCCATGAACCAAAGTGCTTAAATGAAGAAGAGAGTTGGGAGCTATTTCAGAAAAAGGTCTTCTCAAGAAGAGAGGTGCAGGTTAGTCTCTTCAATCATTGAATTTCTTCTCAATTGACTCCCTTGCATCAAATATTAAGGTATCATAATATGTTGTCTAGTGGTTGACTATATTTATTCATGGTTTAGGTAAAAGAGGTAAAAAAATATAGGTAAACGAGAATTTCTTCCGAGTCATCTTCATATATCTTGTTATCGTATTAAGTGCTTTGATCTTGCAATAAAATTTTTCAAGTAACTTTTTCTTAGTCTCATTGAGTCATTGTTACTTTATTTATTTATCTATATTAAGCCTAGATTTTAGATTTGTCGATGGAAATAAAGAATTAAGAGAAATAATATAACTTGTAATTATTCATTTTTCTATCAGTAATTGTGGGCAAGTCCCTTGGAGGATTGAATCTGTCAGAAGACATATTTCAAATCTTTTTGACTTAAAATTCATGCAATTTTTGAAGTGAAATGTTAGTTTTCAATGGTAACCTACCATGTGAGGGAGGTTTTATTATCAGCTAACTACTTTGTTGATTTTGGAACCTCTTCTAGCTTTGCTAGAGAATAGGCTATGGATTTGGGTTTGGGGATAGTTATTAGACCACAAATTTATTAGGGATTTAGGCATGAGGGGTACTGTTTGGACTAGGAAGCATAGATATGAATATGAGATACGGATACGGCGATACGACTAAACCTAAAAAAATAGGATACCGGTACGGCTATGATACGTTTGTGAAAAATACACATAAGCCAAAGAACGTTAAGAAACAACAATGTAATTTTATAATGCAAAATACTAATCTTTAAGAATTTTGTATTAATTTAAGTTAATAGTTTGTTTATTTTTTAAATTTTTAATAAGTCTTGCAAATATTTCATTTCAATATCAAGTTTAATATATTTATATTACAATAATAGAATAATTCACAACTTGTCCTTATGCTTTTTCCTTTGACACTAGTGAAAAATATTATATTCAAGTTTACTTGCTTATTTATTTATTGATATTTAATTTTACCATTGCTATATTCTCTTGTTAATTCTTACTTTCTATGTAGTTATAGGGGACATGCATGAAATAATTAGGATACATCAATTTGATAAATTCTATTATTTAACTCGCTATGCTCTTCTTATCGAAGAACTTAACAAAGTATTAGAAAAATATTCTTATATTTATACTTGCAATTATATTATATTATATTATATTACTATGCAAGAAATGTTACAATTGTAATTTCATAAAACAAGTGAACGTGACTTGGAGTATCCGATACTTCAAAATTAAGTATCCGATACTTCAAAATTAATGAAAAAATAATTAAAAAGTATCCGATACTTTTAATAAGTATCTAATACGTATCCGCGAGTATCCAAGGAGTATCGGTATCCGATATGGATACGATACGGATACGTCACCCTATTTGAAGTATCCGTGCTTCATAGTGTTTGGAACTTAGTTGCAGGAATCGTGCAACCAGGTGATGAATCTTCATAAGAAACGCGATTCCGCGTTTCTTAGAAAGAAACGTGTAAGAATCGCTTTTCTGTAGAGAGAGAAACGCGATCCTATCCAATATGGGATTGTTGGTGGCTATGAACAAAAACCCTAGCTTGTTGGTCAACAAAGAGAGAGGAGAAAGAAGGTGAAGAACCTGAAGGTCGTCTGTGGTTATGTCCTGCTTCTTTGCTTCGTTTTTCTTCTTCTTTCATCACTTTGAAGGTCGTCTCTCTCTCTCTCTCTGTGTATGTTTTTTGTCTCTGTCGCAGTTCGTCTCTCTCTCTGGCAGATCGTCTTTCTCTCTCTCTCTCTCTCGCAGTTCGTCTCTCTCTCTCGCTCTCGCAGATCGTCTCCTTCTTGCTGATCGTCATCGTCTCCTCCTTCGTCTTTGCCTTCTCTCACTCGTGTTGTCTCTCTCTCTGGCCTTCTGTTTGTCATGATATATATGATTCTAAGTAATATATATATAAGATAAAAAAATAAAATTTCTCTCGTGTTCTACTCTGTTGATCTCCTCTTCTTTCTCAGTCGATCTATCTTCTTCTCTTCTCTCTCTCTCTCCCCCTCCCTCCTTTTTAACATATAATAAATAAAATAATTCATCGAATTGTTTAAAAGAAATCTAATTAAATCATATATAATAAAAAAATTATAAAATAAAATATCTGATTTTTCTTTTTGTTTATTTTAACATAATTTATTATTCCTTATTTATTATAATTTTTTATTTATAATATATATCAATTAAAAATAAAAAAATAAATTAACAATAATACATTATTTAAAAAATATAATAAATAAAGAAATAAAATATTTAATGTGTATTAAAATAAAAATATTTATAAAAAAACTTCTAATATGTATTAAAATATATATATATATATATATATTACCGCTCCTCGAGGCGCTCCCAACCTAAGAAACTTCTATCGGCTCACGCTTTCCCGCTCCCGCCCCCACTCCCGCTCCCGCTTCGTGCAACTAAGGTTTGGAAAAATGTCTCTTCTTAACCAGGATCAGTGAGACACAAAATAGCAAACAAAAAAGATAATCAAAATAAAAAAAATCAAACACACACAAGAACAGAAGGATTTACATGGTTCACCCTAGAACGGGATTACGTCCATGGCTGTTGCAGTTTTAATTATGATCAGAAAACGATACAACTCTCTTAACCTGAAAGAGGCGGCCCTTTTATCTATTTATAAGTATAGAATTAGTGCAATGTGGAAGCAACATGAAAATTACTAAAGTACCCCTTGGACCCCCTCCCCTTGGGAGGAGGCCCTCCAAACCCCGTATTGGACCGAGGGTTGAGTGAATAATACTTATCAGGGTCCACAGACCCAAAAGGCACGCCCATTATAAATTTGTATTTGCTTTCATTTTTTCAAATGCTTACTTGCTCCAAAAAAACCCTACCATATATTATCAAATGCAATTAGTAAATGTTTTAGATTTAAGGAGGGATAGATTTTTCAGATTCAATCTACAATTAGTAAATGTTTCAGATCTAATCTCTATTTGTGAAATGCACAAGTCAACAAATGGTTAACAGATTTTTTCCACATGTTTAAGCAAATTCAGTAAGAAAGAAATAGAAAATCATCATTTTTACATGAAATGTATTGTATTTTCTAGTTTCCAATATTTTGTCACATGTTATTCTTTTTTATGTTCAAGTGAGGGTGTTATATTTACAAACGAGTTCTTCCATTTTATTTGTAACTACAAATTTGCTCTTTGTTCCTTTTGTAGACTTCAAAGTTGACACCAGGATGGAGATGTTAGTGAGGGAAATGGTTGAACGGTGTGGGGGTTTACCGCTAGCCATTGTTGTGTTAGGAGGAATCTTAGTGACAAAATATACTTGGAGTGAGTGGGAGATAATTCATCAAAATTTAAATTCGTTTCTAAGGAGGGGCAAAAGCGTTGGACAGCAACATGGAGGAGTAATGGAGGTGTTGGCTCTTAGTTATCATGACTTGCCATATCAGTTGAAGGCATGTTTTCTTTGTTTGGGAAATTATCCAGAAGATGTTGAGATAGAAGCAGAGAAATTATACCAACTGTGGATGGCCGAAGGTATCATATTACCATCACCATTGGAGGATAAGGAAAAAGGGGAAGAAGAAGCAATGATGGATGTGGCAGAATGTTATTTGGATGAATTGGCACAGAGATGCATACTTCAGGTGCAGCTAGAGGAGTACCCAATCAGGTACCAAGGAAGGTTTAAATCATGCAAGCTTCATGACCTTATGCGAGACGTATGTTTGTTAAAGATAGAAGAGGAAAATTTTCTTAAGGTCATTTATTTGAAGAGGCATAAAAATGAGCAACAACAACTACTGGAAAATTCCTATCCTTCTTCTTCATTATCATCATATAGGTGTAGTCAAATACACAGATTTGCAATTGCCTTTGATGAGAATGTTGATGGAGACCTTTCGCTCCTCAAACAAAAACAAGTTCAGCACATTCGGTCAGCTGTATTTTTCTATGGAGGCAGGTGCAGTCATCGACTCTGGGAACAAATCAAACCCTGTATTTTCAACCATCTCAAATTGCTGAAAGTTTTAGATCTTGAAGCAATTGGACATCGCTTTTTTAGTGTGAGTGATCTAAAGTTACCAAAAGCAATAGGAAATTTAATCCACTTGAGGTACTTGGGTTTAAGATATTCATGGTTCAACCAGTTGCCATCATCAATAGGCAAGTTGAGGTATTTGCAAACCCTTGATTTACGGACACTATCACATCCATTGATACCAAATGTGCTATGGAAATTGAAACTACTGCAATATCTTTATCTTCCTCAATCCTTACATATAGAAAATGGTGACATATTACGATTGGATGGGTTGGACAACCTAGAGATGCTAGAAAACTTCCATACATATTATTGTGATATCAAGGATCTCTTCAAATTAACCAATCTTTGACAGCTAAGGGAAGCAAAAATGTGGGGGAGACGTGAGGATATGATCAACTACCTGTTCAGCATCAGTAACCCAAATCAACAACTCTTCCATCACTCTTCACTTTCTATTTGCGACTCTAATGTTTTCTCCGAGGAGTCTAATCTTCTAACACAATTATTGGGGTGTCATCATCTTCATAAATTGGAAATACAAGGGCCTATACAAGTGTTAGCACCACCAGTTGACCATCAGATGAATATCTCTTTGTATTCAAGCAGCAGCCTCACCCATTTATGGTTGGAGGGATCTCTACTTAAGGAAGACCCTACGTCCACACTGGAGAAGTTGCCTAACTTAAGGGGCCTCTACTTAGATGAAGCCTTTGTGGGGAAAGAAATAGTTTGTTCTGCAATGGGATTCCCTCAACTAAAACATCTAAAACTCAAAGGTTTGCACAACTTAGTGAGGTGGAGGGTGGCTGAAAGGGCCATGCCCAATCTTTTGACTTTAGAAATTCAAAGTTGCAAGAAGTTGAAGATGCTGCCAGATGAATTGAGATCCGTCCTTCCCCACGTGCAGGTGTTGATTGAAGAGATGCCTGAGGAATGCCATTACTTCCGGCCAACCAGTCCCCCCACCTCCTCATCCGTTCCTCATTCCCCTTCTCCTCCCCCTCCCCTTTTCCCTCCCCCAACCCCTTTCCCTCCCCTTTTCCGTTCCGGTTCGCTTTCCTGTCCCGCTTCCCTTCCCCTTCTTCCTCGTTGCTCTCTGCAATGTGATTTATTCTTTCCAGAGATATGAGGGACTAAACTGTTTAGTAGAGAATCAGTTGTCAGGTATTTTCTTAATCATCATCTTATTTTATTTCCATTGCATTATTAACCGAAATAATTTAAAAATAACAAGAAGAAAATCACTGCACCTTTCACATCTCTCTCCCAAGCCATGATCTTCAATTATTGTTCCATGCATCTATCATCTTAACAACTGTCTCTCCCTCTATCTCTTAGTGCATGGTTCCAAAGTCACATTTCTTCATATTAAGGGTTGTTTTCGGAATTGACTATTTTAGTTGGTTTTTTAGCTTTTTACAAAAACACGTGCAAAAAGTAGAGAGAAAAGTTGATTTTTTTGTAGTGACTTTTTGACTTTTTGGCTAAAATAGGTTGTTGCCAAAACAGCCCTAAATAACTGAGGCTGTCTGTTGCACCAGATGATTATTCCCATTTGAAGCCAACAATTTCTTCCTACTATATACAAACCAGCCTTTCCTCAGTACCCATTTTGGATTTGCATAATAATGGAAAAAAATGAAAATTAGTTCAGACTCCTTTTTCCACATTTTCATCATTCATGGCAAAGTACTGCTCTTCTCTGCAGCATCATCTCCCTGAGATTTCTTTTAAAGATGATATTTTTGATAAAATATGTCCAACTTTTTTTTTTTTGGTTTGTAAAAATCCTATACTAAACTGTATATATTGGTTCATCCGATTTAAACACTTTGAATCTCTATTTTTGGTGGCAGTGGTTCTGTTAAAAGGACCCCAGAGAACCGTATGCTGGGTCATCATATAATCATGGACTCAAAGGTACCATTCTGTATGTTTGTGTTTGTTTGTCTCTGTCTCCTTAAGTTTATATGTCTATACGTGCTTCAAACCAGAATAAAAATACCATTATCTATCATTAGTCATTTAAATAAGAGACAAATGTCATGTCACCATATCTTTTTAGTCAGTATAAATAAAAGTAACATAGAAACCCATTAAGCTCCATCATTTCTAGTTTTGGAGAAGAAAAGAAACTACTTTTCAAGTTCCAGAGAAGATAGAAAATGGCTGATCATCAATTTCCATGTGAATTTTTTTGACAGGTTGGCCTATATGTAAGGCTGACACATGAGGAGGTTCATGATGCCGCTCTTCAAATTTGTTCTGGATGGTAAATCTTGTAATTTGACAATTTAACCAAACATTAGTTGAAGTAAAGAGTGGTTTTGATGTTTGAAAAACTAGTGTGACTTTGCATATTAGAAACTGATCAATATAAATAGTGGGTTATGCTTTTTCAGGGAGAACGGTGCAGTATATATGGATCCAATTTCCCAGAATGGATCATTTCAATGGAGGTATGCTGTACTTTGTTTTAAGGCTTGGTTTGGTTTGGTATACTGTACTTTGTTTCTCTTCATGTAGAAAGAAAGTTAATTGCTTTGGTACATACATTGCCATGGTTCTTTCTTATTTATTTTACTAGTATTTCTTTACTTAATAAGTGTTTTGCCAAAACTATTACCAATTTGAATTGGCTATTTTCACATAGGCTTGTAACAACCATTCCATAGCCTATTTTCTGCTGTATGACACACTTGGTATGTTTTCTTCCTTTTCATTAAACCAACAGGTGGTTGTTTTGAGCATTTGTAAGCTCGAAATGTAGGGTACGTGACTAAAGTTAATTTAAACTTCAACCACCACCGGCCATTAGTTTGTTCTGCTGGTGTCACTGATGCAAATTCTGTGGAGTTCATCATCAACCATCCTGAAGTTTCGATACCTTTTGTTCAAGAGAATAAGATAGATTCTGGCTGTATGTTCTCATTGCTTCTCCTTAGATCAAGAATTTGGATTTTTGGGAATTATCATGATCACTTTTCTAGAGTTGCAATCTATGAAGCATGTGTACTTTGACAAACATTTCGTATCTACTGGGTATATGCAACACGGACCCAAAAAATTTTCTTCTTAATTTTGGCTTACTCTAGAGGTTACCTAGTACATGCCTAAGTTGTACCCCCAGTCGGAATAGTATTTTCTTTTATGTAGAGGTAAAGTTAGACTACTATTTTTTTTTTAATTTTTATTATTATAGCATAACAGCAATGCTACCTTCACACAATTTTGCCTCCCGAATCACCCCCGAATATGTTTCTAATCAGTAAGAAAATGATTTCTTACTGGTCAGAATCATTTTCTTAACAGTCAGAAACACATTAGGGGGAGAAAATTGTGTGGTTGGCATTAAATGTAAATTGTAGGTTGAATCTTAATCAACTAAATCATTTAACTAATTTTTGCATTATTCAAATTAAAAATAAATATTCTTTTACAAATGTACCCAGCCACACCAGTACTCTACTTTTTTTAGATTTTACCATTTCTACATACCTGTACCTTACTACTACCAATATCTGTACATGTGCTTCATAGGTTGCAAATCATTCACTACTTCACCCTAAACACACCCTTGTCAGCTGTGAGCAAACAACTGAACCTATCTGAAACATCAATTGATCTTTTGATATCTGAATAGTGAATTCGTAATGATACTCCATTAAGCAATCTAATGAAGAGGTATCAATCCTAGAGATCAAATAGTGTACTGAACTCTAGTTCGATTCTAGACTCTACTTCATGAATATATTTTTCTATTTGTTTGATTATCCACATTGCTTCATTGTTTTCGATTCCAATTCTACTATCTCCAAAAGTTCAATCCTGGATCTTGAGTGCTTCATTGTATTAGGCTTTGATTCTTGATTAGCAAGATAAGTGGTGTTCATCCTGTTTGGTTGAGTTTTCATAATCTATTTTTTGTTTTTTTTTTCGCCTTGAAAAAATAGAAACTAGTTTGATGAAAATAAGCACAAAAAGAAAGTTGGGTCATTAACTCATAATATTCTTCTTTATAATACTTAATTTTAACTTGTGCAGATGCCAACATGCCTTCGAAGGTGTACTTCACATCTAAAAAGTAAGTCATAACTCATAAGTGTAATTTTTTTAGAATGACTAATACTTAAATGTGGTGAACTAAAAACAGCTTATTCTTTTGTTAAGCTATTGCCAGCTTTGGGAGATTTCTAGCATGCAAAAGAAGGAAGCTGAAGACCTTGGTGTGTCTTGCTTCTCTAGGAAAGAATTTGCTCTATTGGTAAGACCTGCACATCAATGCTTATTTACAGCTCAAGTAGTACATTCTTTGTTGTTGTCATCTTACCCTGTTTATCTATCTTTTTCAGGGAAGTTTGGATCGCAAATTTCCTCAATCTGACATCTGCATGATGATGATGTATGCAAGTGGAACGACAGAAGAACGTAAAGGTGTTGTTTTAACGAATGGGATGATCATGGCAGAAGCTTGTCTACAGATCAACTGCTATTTGAAACAAAGAAAGTGGTAATGATTAAATTTCATCTCTTTCATGTTTCAAAAGTAACTGATTTTGAACCTTGCTCTGAAATTTGAACCTAAGAAGAAATCTTTCTGCTTCCCTTTATAAGAAGTAACTTTGAGCATTGATTGTTGGTGTGTGTATGGTTTTGATCATTATCATTATCATCTCTAGATTTTCATTCCCAGTATATCAGATGTAACAACCAATGTTAACAAATATGTATGAAATTTGCACAAGTATGCAAGATAGTTTTGTGTCCATATTAAATGTGTAGCATACTCATTGGTCATCAAAGTTCTTCCAAGATTTGAATCTCTGCAATTGTATTGATATGTGTCCTAGTTGAAATCAGGGTATGATTGGAACTTTTCTATAATGAAGGTTTCAATATAAACTTAAATTGTTCTCAATGGCTTAATATGGTGGATTCAGACTCAATTGCAGATTCCTGTTATTCTAGTACTATATCACGTTGAAGGGACTCATACCCTCATTCAAAGTTACTTTTATGTAAAAAAAGTTCTTCCTAAACAGAGTTAATTAGTCAAGCTAAATTAGCAAAAAAGCTAAAAAGTCAAGCTAAAAAAATTCTTCCCAAAAAAGCTAAAAAGTCCAGCTAAAAAACTTCTTCCCAAACGAATTCTAGTCTCAATGCGATTGCTTCTGAGTTTTAACTAAAGGGATATGGTGGAACAATAGTAGGTTTGAATTTGGCATTTTGAAGTTTAGTTCTTTTGTGTTGATGTTTGTCTCCATTTGATCACTTGAGCGTATTGCTCTTTGTTGACAAAATGAGGTTCATTTAGATTTGGTTACACAGACTAGCTATAGTGAAGAGTATCGTTTAGTCACGTGGATTGAAAAATGGAATTTTATGTATTTACAAATAAGGTCCTTAAATTGTTATAATTGATGAAAAGATAAGTTTGGGATAACACTGAAATTTTTAAAAACATTTTGATAAAAGTTTGATGAAAGGTTGGAGTAGTTCATATCATATCAAACTTAACTTTTTACTCAAATTTGAAATGAAATTAGATATTAAAAAAAATAGATGAAGCTTCTAACACATTCATTAAATGTTCATCAAATCAAGGGAAATATATATATATATATATATATTTATTATCAAATTTGATGAAATGATACATTCGGAATAATAAGAACAAAAATTTTAATTTTTTATGAAAATTTGATGAGAGAACTGAAGTAATTAAAATCAAATCAAGTTTTTTATTCAAATTTTAAATCAAATTAGATGACAATCTCTAATGCCTGCCAAATTGACAACGGTAATCATTCAATTTGGTTTTGAGTTTTCAAAAATGTTTTTAAGTTTTTATTTTTCGTATTTTGCTGTTTTTAGTAATTTTTTTCTTCATATTTTAGACTTTTTTTTTTTTACTTTGTAGATACACCATATCTAAATATATTAATAAATTAATAAATTTCTGAAAAAAATCTAAAAAGAATTCAATGAATACAAAAAATTACCAAAATGTGCTTAATTTTTATATTTTTTTATTCAATAAATTTAGTAAATTTTTAAAAGTCCAAAACTTTTTTGAAAAATCCAAAAACGGAAAGATTTTCATTTATTTTATTAATCTAAAAGACACTAACTTTTTTTTTTTTTTGATAAATAATAAATTTTATTAAGAAAGCATCAAGAAGATGCAACAAAACCAAGACAACCAAAAGGAAGAAAACAAAACTCGCCTAACCAATTACATCATTAAAAAAATCTAAGGAAGAAAATATATCCGGATCCACTTTACATTCTCACCAACTATACAAAGTAACTAAGAACCGATCCTCCAACCACGACACCGAACGCTCAAGTCCTTGGAAGATTCTCTTATTTCTTTCCAGCCAGACCAACCACATTAAACAAAAAGGCACCAACGACCACACCCGTCGCCGATGCCTCCCAACTCGGGCCCCCCTCTAACTCCATAAAATGTCCATAATCCCCTTTGGCTGTACCCATGTAAACCCAAAAAGAGAACAAGCCAGCCCCCAAAGTCGAGAAGCAAGAGAACAATGGAGAAATAAGTGGTCAACGGTCTTTGCATGTACATAGCACATACAACACCGATTCACTAACACATGTCGTCGACAAACCAGATTATCAATAGTAAGATTGCGGCCCAAAGTAGTCGTCCATAAAAAGAAAACCACCTTAGAAGGAACCCAAGGCACCCAAATACTCTGCCAAGGAAACACACCTCCCACCTTCCCCACCAAACACCGATAAAATGACCAAATAGAGAACTGACCTTTAGCACTCACCACATTCCAAACCAACACATCTACCTCCCTACCATATAGAAAGGCGAATAACTCACCCAACTGATTCACTTCCCAATCCTGAACCTCACACCGAAGCTGGATGTCCCAAACCACTACCTCCCCTGTCCCTAAATAAGAAGTAACCATGGCTTCTCGATCCCTGGCAATGCTAAAAATTAAAGGGAATTGCACCGCCAAAGCCATCACTCCATACCATCTATCCTGCCAAAATCTAACCTTCTCCCCAGTACCCACATGAAAAGTCACTCTCTCCTAAAACGTCCCTTTTCCCAAACAAATTCCTTCTACAAGCCCCGCCCATATGAACCCATCACTTCTCTCGACTGCCAATCCCCCTCACCAACACCAAACTTAGAAGCCACCACCCTTCGCCATAAACAATCCCACTCCCTAGCAAACTGCTACAACCACTTCCCTAAAAAGCCCTATTAAACTGCACCAAACACCGCACCCCCAAACCACCCACCTCCTTTGGTTGACAAATCCGCCCCCAATCTACCAAGTGATATCTGAAATCCTCTCCACTACCCCCCAAAAAAAAATCCCTCTGAAGTTTCTTTAGCCGCTCAGCCACAGTAACAGGAATAACATGCAAAGACATAAAGTAAGTCGGAATACTACTTAACATACTTTCGATAAGCGTCAACCATCCACCCTTTGACAAATATTGTCGCTTCCATCCTGTCAAACGACGTTGAACCCGATCCAACACGCCACCCCACACCCCATTTACCTTGAAACTAGCACCCAACGACAGGCCCAAATAAGTTACGAGTAACGTGACCACCTTGTAACCTAATACTGCCCCTAAAACTGGCAACCGCCCAACCTCCCCCACCAAAATCAACTTTGACTTACTCAAATTAATACTTAACTCGAAACTGCCTCAAAACAGATCAGGACGCATCGTAAGAATCCCAATTGCGCCACATCCACATCACAGAACACCATGGCATCATCCATATACAACATGTGAGACACCCCAATCGCTAACCCCGTAGGTGATCCCACCGTGAAACCTGTCAACAAACCTTCATACACAGCCCTAGACAACAATCGACTAAAAGCCTCCATAACGCCACATCCGCATCATAGAACACCAAGACATCATCCGCATACAACAAGTGAGACACCTCAATCGCTGACCCCGTAGGCGATCCCACCGTGAAACCTGTCAACAAACCTTCATGCACATCCCCAAACAACAGTCAACTAAAAGCCTCCATAATGCCACATCTGCATCACAGAACACCAAGACATCATCCGCATATAACAAGTGAGACACCCCAATCGCTGACCCCATAGGCGATCCCATCGTAAAACTTGTCAACAAACCTTCATGCACAGCCCTAGACAACAGTCGACTAAAAGCCTCCATAACTAGAATAAATAGCAAGGGGGATAATGGGTCTCCCTGCTGAAGACCCCGAAAAGTCTGATAGAAACCTGCCGGTGAACCATTCACCAAAACAGACATCCGCATCGTAGAGACACAGAACTTCATCCACTGGCACCATGTTGTCCCAAAACTCATCCGACCCATAATATAAAGCAGGAAATTCCAATTTACATTATCATAAGCCTTCTCAATGTCCAACTTACATAACAAACCAAGTCGCTCTTCCCGAATACGAGAATCAACACACTCATTAGCCACCAAAACAGTGTCCAAAATCTGCCGCCCCCCCTACAAAAGCATTTTAGAACTCAGACACCACACCCTGCAAGACACCCCGAAGTCAATAACACTTTTGTCACCAACTTATACACACTCCCAAGCAAACTAATAGGCCTAAAATCCCTCACATCCTCAGCGCCCCCCTTTCTTCGAAATTAAAGCTAGGAAAGTCGCATTGAAACTTCTCGCAAACTGCCTAGTCGTGAAAAAGGCCTCAAACACTGCCATGACATCCTCTTTGACCACACCCCAACAATGCTAAAAGAACACCAACGTAAAACCATCTCGACCCAGGGCCTTATCACCACTCATCATCTTCAAAGCCCCCGATACCTCCTCCTCTGAAAAGGCCTGCTTCAAACCCTCTTTATCCCCTGTAGAGAGAACATCAAACAAAACCCCATCTAACCCCGGCTTCCATACCCCATCTTGGCCCCGAAAAAGACGCTGATAAAAGCCCACGATGCCTTCTTGAATCTCGTCGTCCATAGTCAAATCTCTCCTATCCACCCGTATTCGCACAATCTGATTGGCCCTTTGGTGACCATTTGCCATCCTGTAAAAAAACTTGGTATTTCGGTCCCCCTCTTTCAACCACAAACAACGAGATTTTTGTCTAAAACATATTTCTTTCATCCGAGCCAAATGAACATAGGCTTGTCATGCCGCCTCCCTTCTAGCCACATCCACCTCTAGAAGCCCATTACAAACTTCCTGCACATTTAAGGACTGCAGTATAGCCACCACTTCTGCTTTCTGAACCTCCACCCGACCAAAAGTCCCCTTGTTCCATGTTTTCAAATCCCCTTTAAGAATTTTAATTTCTGAGCCAACATGCAATTAGGAGAGCCACGAACCATATAACTGCTCCACCATCTCTGAACCGTCTCTACAAATCCCTCCGACTGTAACCACATATTTTTGAAGCGAAAAGGCGTCGGCCTACTACGAAATCCACCACTATCAAGCATAATAGGCCAATGATCAGACACTGGACAGGGTAATCGACATTGCACAACCTCCGAAAAGTGCTCATCCCAACCACTTGTAACCAAGAATCTATCAATCCGGGACATATGATGGCCATTAGACCAAGTGAAACTCCCCCCCTGAATAGGCAAATCAACTAAACACATCTCATCAATAAATGTACAGAACGCCCACATCGACCCCTTCGCTTTACTACTCCCTGTCTTCTCTAACGGCCATTGAACCATATTAAAATCACCCCCACACACCACGGCTTGAACCATCGATGTGAAACATCCGTCAATTCACCCAAAAAAGCACTCCTCTCCG